GCCACACTGGTGGAGCTCTGTGGCATCTGGGGAGGTCTGGATCCACACTGTGTGGCATGGTTCTGATTCCGGAAGGGAAGGTTAGCTTGCTCCTAGTCTTTGCCCTGATTTCCAGTGCTGCTGCAGCAAAACTAGGGGTCCCACATAGAACTGGGGGGATGGTTTTTGTATGTACTTAACTTCACTGCATAGTCGGCTACCTGAAAGGAGAAGATAATTAAAAAAAAATGAATAGGATGGATAGGGATTGGGGACCTCTGTGGCACTAGAACTGACAATTTTCAGATTGTTTAGGTCTCGTCAGAAAATGTTTTGTTCTGTCTTTGTTTTATATTGAATCCCGTGTGCTTGGTTAGCTTCTTTTCAAATTAAAAAAAAAATCTCCATACATGTATTGAAAGCTTTATCTGTTTATCTCCTCATTAAAAAGACTGTCTATGAAATGTGCTGACAGGGCTTTTACTCTCTTGCTTTCTATTCTCATCACATTTTCCACTGAAAGCCTCCCCTCTGCTGTTTCTGTTTGATAGTGAATGGGGCTTTCTGGTGGTAGAGGCCCAGGATGCTGATCCTGGCTCCTCACAGGCTGCGTCCATTGCCCTGGATGGGAAACCTCAAACGTGCAATTTGGGCTTCAAGGAGGCCGTGCTGGCGCATGGATTTAATCCACTAAAAGGCAGTGTTCACAGACTGGAGGGCCCAGTATCAAGCATGGTGGGAAGCTCATCACAGGTTGTCTTCCAGTTGGATATTAAAACCAGAGGCCACATTTTGAGAACTGTGTGTGGAGCTGCCGAAGCTGGTGGAGGAGAGCCTCAGTGGAAGCTGAGCTTCTCAGAAATGGTGTCAGGGCTTCTGGAGGCACTTTAAGAAATTGCTGGACAATTTCCTTGGTGGGGAGGGGGGTGAGAGGGGGAATGTGGGTACAGCAAGCATTGTACAGTTTGATTCACTTAGAGATTGCTAGTGGCTGAGTCTCCTTGCAGCCAGAGTGAGTTTTGGTTACAGAAGAAATTGTGAAGAGTAGCTTTTGGTATAAGCTGTGGTTTTAGTAATATAATAGAAATTATGCCAATAACAAGTGATAAAAAAGGTGACTGTTTTACTCCAGACATGATAATGTGAGATGTGGACTTGAGACACTGGACTGGGGGTCTCCAGCCTTTGCTGGTGTCCACCGTTGACATGGATCATCCATCACTGTTTGCTCTGCTTTGGCTTTTAATGTCTGTTGCACCTGAGCAGTTTTGGAGAGCTTGGTGGTTTGTGAACTGCCATGCTGTGTAATAAAAAAAAAAAAGATACAAATTTGTATACATGTCTCTATAATCTGAGTGTCTTTGTTTCCATTTGCAGGTAAAGTTACTAGCTTAAACCAAATAAAATACTTCGTGGTTCACTCCCACATAGTGATGTCCCTTGTTCTCTATTGTGACAAAGTAACTTAAACAAAAAGGAAAACAATAAAACCCCTTTAATTGTAATAAAGAGAAATGCAAAATTGGCGCAGAAGATGCATCACAGTGCTCATGTGCCAAGTCCTGCAAAAGACACAGTAGCCTGTGGGGTGAAAGCCTGGTCATGGATGAGCAGAGTAAACACTTTGTTCTGGTTTTTGTGCTGCTTTCGCCTGCTTTCGCCTTGTACAAAAAAAAATCTCATGCAGCAACATGAACTTTGTGACGTCTGATATGCAGAGCAGACAGCTGCAGGCTCAATTAATTCCCCCCTCTGATTTTTTTTCATAGTATTTTTTTTTCCCAGGAGGCTGTAGTGACTTCTAAACCCTCACGGGTGAGTGGTGTTTATGGCTTGTTGACTTTGATCGAAGCGAAGCGCAGAGTCCTGTACAAAATGAGAGCAGGTTTGCATGTGAAAATCTTCACTGGATGTCTTTTCGGGTGGGTGGCCTGACCTGCACCTTGCCCAGGGTGCTTCCCCACAGCTTCACTGGTGTCCATCTTACCCAAAGCCAATGAAATTTTGGATGCTGAGTGTAGGAGACTGAGCCTATTCTGAGTCAAAGTGAGCCCTGGGAGGCAAAAGCAAGGAGGTGGCTACAGAGGCAGAGGGGAAAGCAAAGGATGTCAGCTGGATGTGCAGGTGCTCATGCAGCCCCTTTGAGCCATGTGCACTGTGAACACACAGAGGAACACTTGCTGGCTTCTCCCTTCCCTTCCACCTCTGTACCTGCTCTCTGGCAAGCAGGAGCAGCTCCTCAGTGCTCTCTGTCAGCACTCACCTGTAATTTAAACACATTGTCTGTGGCAGCCCAATGGTGGTGTCTTGGCACTTGGACAGTGTGGGACCTGTGGATGGGAGTGAGGTGAGGATGAGTAGCAGAGCCATGTGCAGAGCAGGGGGGCACTTGCTGGGGAGCCCTCGCCAGCTTCCTAATAAACTTGAGGGAAGGGACAAAGCGTAGGACAGTGTTTGACATCTTTGCTGGGAGGAGTGGGAAGCCACCAGTTTCTGTCCATCTGTCTGCCTTACAAAGTGCCCTTCTTGAACGTGCTTCATCAACATCCAAGCCAGTGGCTCTGTATATTGTTGTTGTAGTCAAGAGGATTGTGTTACTCTGTTTTGTTTGGTGTTTGGTTTTTTTTATGATAAAAAGTGATTAAAGAACAGGCTGTGCTGGGCCAACTGAGTGATTGCTTCATTTTTTAGTTAATAGGTTAGATTTTGTCAAAAGCACTGTCTCCCCTTCCCGAGCAGTAAAGCAGCATGATGCCGGATACACGCCTGCTTTATGGTGCCTCTTTTTTTAAGCTTCTGGCATCTGACATAGGTGACTGTGGGATATTCTAATGAAACTGAAGTTATTAAAAAAAAAAGAATTCTATTACATTTCAGGGATGTTTGGGCTTCATGCTTCAATAGTGCTAATTAGATATGTGACCCATTTTCATTCTGCTTTAGCTCCTGGGGATGGTGGAGCCTCATTATAAATAGAAGTATTTATAATAGATAGAGAATGCCCATGTTCCTTATTCTAAATAGCTTCTTCAAAAGGCTTTAGGGTGTTTTCTGGACACTGGTTATGTTTTCTTTTTCTTTAGGTGAGGAAGTGGGACGGGGGGAGATTTCTCTCGCCAGAAATAAATATTTGAATATTTTTTTCTTTCATTTGGAAAACCTAGTTGGTAAATCAAGGTCCTCTTGAATTTTAAGTTTACCTTGTTTTTACTGACAAGGGAATAAACTTGAATGCTTTTTAAGAATAAAAATGCTTTTAATGTTGCAGTAACTTCCCATTAACTGGTATTTTTAGCTAATAGATTTTGCGCAGCTCCTATGTTCATGCACTGAGTGGCTGGCTGGATGCTGACAAAAGGTAGCAGTTGTGAGAGGTACTTGTTGAGAAACAACCTGCCAAAGTGCATGTTGTGATGCAAAACTGAGGCTGGAAGGAGCAGACAACCCATTCTAAAATCTGCTCTTGGAAAGCTCTTGCGTCCTATGCTCTTTTATGTCTTACGCAGAACTCGGTCGCTTCCAGAAGACTTGTAGTAAACAGACACCTTCTCCTAATGATAGAAAATGCCTGGTGAGACCTGGGGATAAGTGTATTAAAAGTAATATAAATGAATAAAAGATAACAAAGCGTTGCCAGGCAACTGTCAAAGGAGCTGCAGCTGCTGCATCTCTGGGCTTTGCTGAAATGACCTCTTACATTTTGAGCATCTTACCTGCCCACGGATGAAATGTTTATTCTGAACTTTGCCTCACAGGCAGCAGTTGAGCTTGTGAGTGCTGCTGTATTTAGTGTTACAGTGCTGATGTCCTTGTGCTATCATTAAAAAAACCCAAATAATTCAAGGAATTAGGGTAAAGCTGAGCTGGAGTCAGCTCTCAGCAGTACAGAGATCACTTATGACTGAATAAGTAAATTTTCATGATTGAGCAGTGTTGGTGGAGTTAATCTGAAATAGGCAGAGAGTGGAACTCTCCTGTCACTTAATTTTAATGACTACACTAAGTGAAAAGTTAAGGTGGGTTTTACCTTTGAATTTACTGGTCTGAACACTTGTCCATAAACCCGTACCTCAGAGGCTTGCTGTAAAAATTGAGTCTACTAACAAAGCAGGCTGTGGCAGAGGAATTTGAGGTGAGTATAACTTCAGGATGGTTTTCTGAGCATTTTGCTGGGATGCTGTGAGAGGTCCTTCAGTACAGAGGAACAAGGAGGGCTGTGCTCTTTGCAGCTCCTTCCTTTGCAGCATGGTTTGATGTGTTTGTGCAGCAGATGATGAAGGTAACCTTTTCTATTTGCAGAGGAGGGGGGAAATAACCTTTTCAAAAGCTGTGTTTATGAGGATAAACATAACTTTACGTTGTAAACACGAGCAACATGACTAGATTTTGGGCGACTGCTTTATTGCTTGTATCACATTCCCATTTGGAGTATGTTAGATGCTGTTGTGTGTCTCCACCATGAGAAAGCTGCTGTCTGAAAGTGCCCAGTGTACAACAGGATGAGAAGAACTCCATGTAGGAGTGATTTAAGATGGAATCTTACAGTTATTTAAGCCCACGTTTAACTTAATTCACTGTAAATATTCAGGGCTACACAGGGTGAGTAAAGGTTAACACATTTATTAGCCTTTGAAGATCAGAGGCAAGCTTTATTTAATTTGAAGTTTGTGTGATGCCTTGCTGCTAAGTACTTCTCAGAAGATGCTGGTGGCACATTGCATGGCTGTTTGCTTTGGTCATGGGTTATTTTGCAGTTTCTTATCACGAATCCATTTCCATGTTTTTCCTGATCTTCACCACTTGTTTTTCTTAATTCTGCTGTTTTCATTTTTCTCCTCTGTATCTTATTCTCAGAAATTTGAGCTATTTTGGCACACTGGAGAGTTTGAAAAGAAAAAAAAAAAGATGTTATCGAAAATAACCTTTGAAGATTTTTACTCTGCATAGAAACATTGAATAGGAGTTATCTACTGCCAGGGCAGAGCCTTCAGCCTTGGTGAGCTAAGAGCTGACCCTGTCCTGTTAATTAGTGTTGTACTGCACGAATGTGCTGTGCTCCGCAGCTGTTGATAAACAAGCTTTTCTTAGGGAAGAAGAGAGATCATGCAGTGATTTGACTGAATGTTTTGAAAGCATATACCCAAACTCAGCTCACTCCCCAGGAAAGCATCCGAGATAGTGGTGCTGCGGCAGAGGGTGTCTTGCCTGCTGGCTTGGGGAGGAATGCAGCTCCATGTTGGGCCCTATGT